ACACTGAGTGCGGGGTTATCTGGGAGATACTGACTGGCTTTAGATCCTGGGACTGCTTCAGAGAGGGTGCTAAGCTAGTTTCTGTGCCATTCCTTCTGCTGGCATCTTCATCCAGCATCCTGTCCTTGGTCTAAATGTGCGCTCTGCTTGAGCAGGCGGCAGCCGTGAGGAAGCAGAGGCACTGGCAGATGGAGATCTGTGTTGCCCAGCAAGGTTTCTTTCTCTTTTTCTTCGTAACATGTCAAAATGTAAAGATGGCCATTTTGGGGGTTAGAAAATGGACTCTAGGGCAAAGTACCTAGGTAGGTATATATATATATATTCTTGGGGATGTATTTCCAAGCAAGGTCACGAGTATTGAGTTTCTGCTTCAGAGAGGCCTACAGACATTTCCCCATTAATTCTGGTAGATGTTAAATGTACAATAGGACAAGTATATAAAATTGGACTAAGTACAGAGTTCAAGAAATTAATGATTTTAGACCATACAACAGAACCAAGATGTAAGTTGTTATATAATCCTTCAGTGATAAAGATGAATAAAAGATATAATGGAATTTCTTCTATCCTAAACTAGCTTTGTAATGGCATATTTGGTATAGGACCCTGCAAATGAAATCAAGGACTGCATGCTGGCCTGCTCCCCTTTTTCACGTTTGGCATTCCTGTCAGTGTCGTAATTTTAAGAAATTATGTAGAATATGTATTCTAACCAACAGGAGGGTAGTGAGCTTCTCAATGTGTCTCCACGGCTCCCATGGAGGATATTTACTCACTCATTCTACTATATATTTTATACTCACTCGTTCTACTATCTATTTTATTGAGCAGGTTTACTATGTATAACAGACTGTCCTAAGCAATTGGTATATAGTAGAGAACAAAAGACAGAAAAAGTCCTCGCCCTCCTGCAGTTTGAAGTCTAACACCATGAATAACTGTATGAATGAATGAATACATAAAAAATGTAATCAGGTTAGGGATCATGAAACTAAGTGAACACAGACTAGCATATTTCACTGATAAGATTACTTTCTCACATTTTAACATCCCTGAAATCAAGGTATGTCTTAACATTTATGGTATATTAAAATTACAACTTGGCAGTACTCACAGCACAACTGTCATGTCCCTGCACGTGCATAAACTTGGTCACAGCTATTCATTTTGTTTTCACTTCTACTGAGTTATGGGCATTGTTGGCACTGCACGTGTTCTATTTAATTGCCACTGAAACGGTTTTCAAAAAGATTACACTATCATTTGGCACTGCAAGGAGGCATTACTGTGTATGCATGAAGGCATCAAAACAGCAGTGTGACATAAACGTTCTATTACTAAAGGAAACATTTGTCTTTGTTTGGCATTTCCATATCATTTTACAAAGCAAGATCCAAATGCTTTACCAGACTGAATAAAGAAACACAAAAGTTAATGACGCTATGTTATAGTTTGTTACCGAGATTCACGCAAGTGACCCGTCACACCCCAAACAATGCTACCAATAACACTGGCAGGAAAATGTATCGAAACCCAAGGAAGAGAGGAAGGAAACTTGAAAGCAATGAGAGACTAGTGTGACCTATTCATGCATTACTATGGAAGAATATCCTTAAAGTGGAATGTCATAATAAAATTGGCAATATTTTCTCTTTTGTGTATAGCAGAAAAATAACGCTATGTCTTACAACTGGTGGCATTTTTAATTTGATGAAATATAGAAATAAGATGGATTGCTAGTTAATAAGAAGTTTTAGAAAGAGAATAGCATACAGAGTGGAAGTTTGTCGATTCTGGACAGTTTTAAGTTAATAAGGTATTGCAAATGCACAACGTCAGAAAAACTACAATTTCAATAATTTGGTATAGTTTTGCAGATCACTGGTCACTTCAAAAGGTCTATTCACTCTTATTTCTAACAATGTTTTGGGCACACCTTCCATTCTGATGTAAGAGTGTGATAAGAAAGCCTCATGTTCTTCTTTCCCAACTTCAGTTGGTGCTGCTTTGATTTTTGGCAGTTTAGAGATATTAGAAGTGACGTGCTGGATCTGTATTCCAAACTCAAACCTTACTACTGCTACCAAGAATGGAGTGAAATACTTAGACAGGAGGGTCCATTTGAAATCTCAAAGCATGCATATGGGACTTTGAGATTCTTAGCATAAGAGTAACATGAGTAAAATGCCAACTATAAGGATACGTTTCCAGGCAGCATATGGTCACAGCTCAAAAATGAACTTGTTTTTAAAGCTTACTACTGCAAATTATTTTGGAACCAGAGACAGTTAAAAACCATACCAAGGAAGAGAACACACACACGTACACACACACACACACACACACACCTCTAGGGAAGATAAATTATAAAACAATGGATGTAGATTATAATAGAAATAATTTTTTAGGCACAGCTTCAAAACATACTGTCACAATTGTGACATCAGTTTTTGACACCATTCAGCCAAGCAACAACTACTTTAACGTAAAAGTGAGTATCAAATCAGGAATAGGCGTGTGGCTACATCCATCACCAAGACAACAGGCACAGTTTTATATGGTGAACACATATTTCAATAGTGTTGAAAATAGACTGCACCATATACGTGGTATTTCCCACTCTGCAGAAGGCCTGCTTTCTGTTTCTAGGGCCCTGCATGGAGAATTCAGGGATTCCCTGGAACTAATACCACTTTCCCCAGGGACTTCATTTCAGTCTTTCCTTTTAGGTAGCCTGGCCCAGGTCAGAAATTCTCTGACAGTTGGTACAAGAGAACGAGCGTGCCAGTGTGAACGCTGCAGGGGATGTGTTGTTGCCAACCGATGGGGTGTACTTCCATATGCAGAGCTAAAATAGACTTGGATGATTGAGAGGGTAGAGACTGCTCCTTAAGTGCCAGTAAGGGAAACATTTGGTTACCTGTCTTCTGGGGACAACTTATCTGAAAGAATGAGGTGGGTTTACATGTTTGGATATTTCCTCTGATTTTTATGCTGGGGATGGGATAGGGAGAGTCTGGAGACTGTCAGTGTTATCCTTCAGTACATGTGCACACAGTGGGGGTTTCCAGAGGGAGAAAACACTCTGTAAAGGGTCTGATGCACCAGGCCAGTAGAGACAGCATATGTTGCCACTGCATTACAATAAGGGCAACTCTCAAGAAGAACTGGGAGACAGCATAGACCATGGGCAGGGAGCCAAACAGATCCAGGTTTAAATCCAGCCTCTGTCACTTACACGCCCAATAATCTTGGCAAAATTACCTGAACTCTTTAAATTCAAAAATAGGGAAACTAATAATAACACCTCCTTAGACTGATGGCAAGAATTAAAGTATTACTATATGTCCACACCTAGTAATGTGTCTGGTGAATAGAACGTGCTCAATGTATAGACACTACTGTGTCATCACTAGGGAAATTCCCTTAAATGTAAATGTTTTTACGGATATGTTTTTTTAGCAAGGGGGTAAATTATACGGACCACAAAATGGCCTTGGCTAAGGTGTTTTGAGGGAATTATGAAGTTGTCTTATGGTAGGAATACGTCTTGATAAGAAAGCTAAAATGTAAATGTGAACAACCACGTGTGATCAGTAAGAATGATGCAGAATTTAACATGCATTTTTTGAGATTTGTTTAATGGCAAGACTATGCGATATCTACATGTCACTACCTCTACCCTGAGCCGCTTTATGACAGATATGTTCCTACAATCTTGTGTAAAATTCCATTTTAACTCTAAGTATCACTTCTCTACATTGGAGGAAGTTTTGTAAAGCAAATAACCCCCACTTAATCTATCTTGCTTTGAAGGCTGAAACTTTCTATCTTCGAGTGGACAGGCATGTGTTCTGTATTTTTTTTTTGCACTGGGCTATCGCCCTGACAGGTGAGTCATAACTTCTGCCCACTTTGGTACGATCCACAGCACCCTTTCCAAAACTGCAAAAGCCGACTGAAAGCAAGGGCAATAAGAAAATATTAAAGAATCGACAGAGTAATTATTAGCACCTTGGACACAATAGTGTTTGGGGATGTTTAATTAGACGGCAAGGTAGATTTAAATTTTTGAAGCTCTTAGAGTACAGATCTTGGTCGAGTCCATTCTACCGGGAGATAACACGGGGCCATTGACTACCTGCTGCACTGTTTTCAAGCAAAACCCACACTGTGCGGGCTCTGGGTGCCATCTCCACAAAGCCCCCTACCCGAGGGGGATTTCCACAGAGGAATTTTCTCAAGGAAGGTCCCGTGTCAGGAATGCTGCTCGAGTACGGGTTCCCACGTGCCCACACGCAGGGCACGGGCTCACACGGCAGGGTGGGCTGCCTCTTTAAAGGCGCGGACCTCAGGTACCCCCGAGTCTGGCTCCTCAAGTCTGGGCATCAAACTTTCTCCTGGAACAAAACCTCTTTCAACCCACATGGAGGCAGGAGGAGGACGGAGCCCGGGGATGCCATCAGCTGCAGCCGGGAGACAGCGCTCCCACCCCCGCCCGCTTCCCTCGGTCCCCACCCTCTTCCTCCGAGTGAAGGCGGCCCTGACCGCACAGCCCCGCCCGGCCCCACCCACCCGCTCCCCGGCCCACCTCCCCGGCCGCGGAGCCCACAGCCTCACAAAGCTGCCTCCCGGGCGCTGCGGTTCCCCGGGGCGAGGGGCGAGCGGGGCTGGGTACCTGAAGAAGAGGCCAGGACACCGGCGCCCAACGAGACCCACAGCATCGCCCCGGCGCCGCCGCCGTAGTTGCCACCGCCGAAGGCTACTTCGCTGCGCCGAGCGGTGGAGCCCCGGGGACCTGGAGCCGCCGCCGCCTGCGCTCCCTACGCTGCGCTGCGCTCGCTGCGCCCGGGATCTGCTGCCCGGCGACCGCCACGGTCAAGCGGAGCCCCGCCCCGTGCGCGCCCGGCGAGCCGCGGACCCCCAAGGACGCGCCGCCGCCCCGATTGGCTGCGGGAGTCGCTGGCCCCGCCCCTGCTCGCCGCGCTCCTCCCACGCCAGGGGCGCGCGCTGCTGGCGGCCCGGAGACTGGCGGCCTCTCCAGGGGCGCCGCGGGAGGGTGCGGTCCGCGCTGGGCGAGGCTTCCTGCGGGCACCGGCGCGCTCGGCCTACGCTCCTGGGCGCTGCAGTTCTCCCTCTCCTTGCCAGCCCAGAGATAAATAGACGGCCAGAAAGAAAAGAAAAGGAGAAAACATCTCTAGAGCTCTGCGCGGGGAGGACAGTAGCCGCGGCAGCTGTGGTGTGAAATCTTGTTTGTATAAATTCGTTTCTCACAGAAGCCCAGGAAAGGTTGTCTGGGGTGGAGCACTGGAATTGTCACCAAGGCTTTTTTTTGTTTTTGCTTGTTTGTTTTTTAACCTGAAGGTGTCCTTACACACCTCTAGACTTATCTTATGAAGAAACTGAATCCAGTTAAACAACTTGTCCAAGGTCATAGAGCTGGTTGCAGATTGATTCTGTATTTTGATGCTAAATCAAAGCCACCTCAGCATTTATTTGTTTTCTGTGCAGAGAAGAGTTGCATTCTCATATATAATGCTATGTATATTGTATAGCAAGAAATCAATTAGAAATATAGAGATAGAAAGTAGACTGGTGGTTGCTGGGGGTGGGGGGGCTGGGGAGTGATTGCTAATGGATAGGACTCTCTTAGGCTGATGAGAGTGTTCTGCAGTTTGATAGTGGGAATGGATGCACAACTTTGAATATTCTAAAAACCACTGAATTGTACATTTTAAAGGGCTAAACTTTATGGAATGTGAATAGTATCTCAATAATTCTGATATTTAAAAATGTATTGGCTGAGCACGATGGCTCACGCCTGTAATCCCAGCACTTTGGGAGGCAGAGGCAGGTGGATCACGAGGTCAGGAGTTTGAGACCAGCTTGGCCGACATGCTGAAACCCCATCTCTACTAAAAATACAAAAATGAGCCGGGCATGGTGGTGCATGCCTGTAATTCCAGCTAGTCGCGAGGCTGAGGCAGGAGAATTGCTTGAACCCAGGAGGTGATGGTTGCAGTGAGCCGACATTGTGCCACTGCACTCCAGCCTGGGTGACAGAGCAAGAATCCGTCGTGAAAATAAAGTAAAATAAATAAAACTGTATTAACACTTGAGCCCGGGTGGTTGAGGCTACAGTGAGCCATGATGGTGCCACTGCACTGTAGCCTGGGTGACAGAGTGAGACACTGTTTAAAAAAAAAAAGTATCCAAGTGATAGTGCTGTGGGGAAATCCACATAAGCACATATTTGGAGTATGTTACAATTCTTGCTTTGTGAGCAGAAATTATGACTTATGTACTAGCATCCATCCATTCATTCAACAATCCACATCCATGTTTATCAAGTTACTCTGACATCGGTACAAAGATAAATAATGCATGATCTCTGTCATCAAGGAGTTCTCAGTCTATTGAGGGGACAGTTTATAATATAATAAGGTGTCATTCTAGGGAGGTAAACAAAGTGCAGGTTTAGGGTGCTAAGACAGTCGTAAAGGAGCTGAAGGATGTGTAATGTTTCAGCAGTGGTCAGCGTGGCTGAGTGTCAGAGGTGTGACAGGACGTGAAGCTGGACAGTTACAGGACAGAGTAGAACTGTAAACTAGAGCTCAGTTAAAGAGGCACAGGCTAATTAGGAAGTAAATTTTCTATTCCTTCTGGATCATTTCTATCCCTAGTGTAGTGTGTGATTTTGGTGAATGGTCTCAATCGTCATCATATAAGCAAACAATGGTAACACCAACTGACTTTTGTTTCCAACTTTATAGTATGTATAAACAGTTTTTGTGTATTGCCTCCTTTGAAGCTCAGAGAGGTGAAGGGGTTGTGCTCAAGGCTGTATGTCTTCTAAGTGAGGGAGGTTGGATGAAACTCCATCTACTGACCTTGGATCCTATATTATCAATATTGTCAGCCTTTTGAGTTGTAAAGCTTCCTTACAAGTGCAAAGAACTCTTGAGCTACAAAAGCTCTCTCAGCAGTAGCAAGTGAAACCTGTTTTTTCACTTGGAGTTTTTCTGTGTTTTGATTGGGAGCTTGAAATATTACAAGCTCTAGGATAAAAAACTTAGCTACTAATCTTAGCTCTTCAATTGAGTCTGTTCAGCAAAGCCCTGGATTCCAGGTTTCATAAAAAGTGACTCTACAATTTAAAAACAGGAGGCTGCCTGTTTCTATTGTCAGTATACAAATGTCAGCATACTGAGGGTACCTTCCTTTACACTCCATTTATCCTTCCATCCCTTATGGGATTCTAAACACCTTTTGAATGCAGGTACAGGTTGAGCATTCCTAATCAAAAAATCCAAAATCAGAGATGCTCCAAAATCTGAATGTTTTTGAGCACTGACCTGATGGCACAAGTGGAAGATTCCATTCCTGACCTTATGTGATGGGTCACAGTCAAGACACAGGTATACAGCACACAGTTTACTTAGTGTCCCCAGGGGAGAGAAGACCCCCTGCAGCCCCCATCAGCTGTGATATTTTTTTTTTCATGCACACGCAGACTTCCCTGTGTGGGCACACCTACCTTGTATAATAAAATGGCACATGTGCAGGCTGGACTCTCCCATGGCAGGTTCCCCACGATGCCCCACATTGGGTCAAGTGCATTGCTCACTGTGTTTTTTGTTTGTTTGCTTATTTTCTGCTCCATGGTATAAAATATTATTTAAAATGTCAAAAGGGCCTGGAAATACCCCATGGGTAACAATGATAAGAAATACAGGAAGCATTTATGTTAATCTATAGCACAGAAATTTTAGTTGTTGGAGAATCTGGACAGGGTGTGTGAAACATCTTACGGAAGAGAATGGGGTAGGAATGACCATCATATATGACCTGAAGAATCAGAAGGATACACTGTTGAAGTTCTATGCTGAAAGTGATGAATTGAAGTTAATGAAAAATGGGAAAACATTGCATAAAGCTAAAAATGCAGATTTTGATCATGTATTGAAAAAGTGGATCTGTCAGCTTTGCAGTGAACACATGCCACTTAATGGTATACTGGTCATGAAACAAGAAAACATCTATTCAAGATGAACTGAAAACTGAAGGAAACTGTGATATTCAACAGTCTGATTGAAGAAACGTAAGAAAAAACACAGCATTAAATTGTTAAAGATTTTAGTCGTAATAAAGCATCTGATCATGCGGCAGCAGATAATTTTTTTTTTTTTTTTTTTTTTTTGAGACAGAGTCTAGCTCTTGTCACCCAGGCTGGAGTGCAGTGGTGAGATCTCAGCTCACTGAAACCTCTGCCTCCCAGATTCAAGCAATTCTCCCCAGTAGAGAAATTCATTGACGAGTTTGCCAAGGTGATGGCTGATTAAAATCTGATGTCAGAACAAGTCTATAATGCTGATGAAACATCACTGCTTTAGTATTATTGCCCCAGAAAGACACTGACTGCAGCTGATGAGACAGCCCCTGTGGGAGTTAAGGATGCCAAGGACAAAATAACTGTGCAGGGATGTGCTAATGCAGCCAGCACACATAAGGGTAAACTTGCTGTAATAGGCAAAAGCTTGCATCCCTGGCTGTTTTCAAGAAATGAATTTCTTACTAGTCCATTATTATGCTAACAAAAAGGCGTGGATCAGCAGGGATGTCTTTCCTGACTAGTATCACAAACATTTTGTACCAGTGGTTGGCTAGTGCTCACTGCAGAAAAGCTGAACTGAATGACTATTGCAAGATATTGTTATTCCTTGACCACTGACTTGCTCATTCTCCTGCTGAAATTCTCATTAAAAAAAATCATTTATGCCATATACTTTCCCCAAAAATGTGACTTCATTAATTCAGCTATGTGACCAAATATCAAATGAAGAGTGATTATAAGAACACTTTCTTGGAAAGCATACTAGCAGCACTGAACAGAGGCATGAGTGTAGAAGGTTTTTAAAAGGAGTTTGGCATGAAGGATGCTGTATGTGCTGTTTCCAAGGCTTGGAACACAGTGACTAAAGACATAGGACCGTGCACGGTGGCTCACGCCTCTAGATGACATGGTGAAAATGTGCGATGGGCTTATTTGTTGAAGGACTAGAGCAGGGTGCACTCATAACAAAGCAAGAAATCACGCCAGCTGTAAAATCAAAGAGACTTCTAGGACAAAAACTAATGCTAATGAGGCAGATGACTCTGGAGGAAACATTTTAAAAAGCCACCTAGCAGAGGCCAGGCGTGGTGGCTCACGCCTGTAATCCCAGTACTTTGGGAGACCAAGACCGGTGAATCACAAGGTCAAGAGATCAACACCATCCTGGCCAACAAGGTGAAACCGCTTCTCTACTGAAAATACAAAAATTAGCCGGGCATGGTGGCACGCGCCTGTAATCCCAGCTACTCGGGAGGCTGAGGCAGGAGAATCGCTTGAACCCGGGAGGTGGAGGTTGCAGTGAGCCGAGATCACGCCACTGTACTCCAGCCTGGGCGACAGAGCAAGGCTCCGTCTCAAAAAATAAAAATAAAAAAATAAATAAAAAATCACCCAGCTGAATAACTCCTCGTCCCTAGAAGACCCACTTCCTTGTCGTTCAACTACTTCTGATGTTTCTTCTCATTAAAAAAGTAAAATATAATGTTTAGTAACCTTTAAATCAAAATACAGCATCATATGTGGAGATCGAAAGCCTACTGTTATCTGTTGTTGCTTTTTGTTTTGTTTTTTGTTTGTTTGAGACAGGGTCTTGCTCTGTCACCAGGCTGGAGTGCAGTGGCACAATCTTGGCTCACTGCAACCAACCTCTGCCTTCCAGGTTCAAGCTATTCTCCTGCCTCAGCCTTCTGAATAGCTGGAATTACAGGAGCGTGCCACCATGCCCAGCTAACTTCTGTATTTTTAGTAGAGATGGGGTTTCACCATGTTGACCAGGCGAGTCTCAAACTCCTGATCTCAAGTGGTCCATCTGCCTCAGCCTCCCAAAGTGCTGGGATTACAGCCACAAGCCACCACACCAGGCCTGTTGCTGCTGGTTTAACAGCTGATACAGGTGTTCTGATGATGCTCCTGTGATGCTTAGTTACACCAAACACTCTCTTTAAACTGTAATAATGGTAAATCATTTTTTTCTGTTAAGTAGTTATGTGTGAATAAGTGTAAGAAAATGGTTGCTTATCAGTAGCATGTAAATTTAAAGTCAGGAGTAATGGTGATCCCAAACAACCACAGACTGTCCACAGTAGCTGAGATAGTGACAGCTTTACTTTCTGATGGTTCAGTGTACACAAACTTTGTTTTATGCACAAAATTCCTAAAAATATTATACAAAATTGGCCAGATGCAGTGGTTCACGCCTGTACTCCCAGCACCTCGGGAGGCTGAAGCAGGTGGATCACTTGAGGCCAGTTCAAGACCAGCCCAGCCAATATGGTGAAACCTCATCTCTACTAAAAATACAAAAATTAGCCGGGTGTGGTGGCACGCACCTGTAGTCTCAGCTACTCAGGAGGCTGAGGCATGAGAGTCACTTGAACCCAGGAGGTGGAGATTGCACTGAGCTGAGACTATTCCATTGCACTCCAGCCTAGGCTACAGAGTGAGACTCAGTCTCAAAAAAAAATGTGCAAAATTACTTTCAGGCTATGTGTATAGGTCTAATATGAAATGTAAACAAATTTTGTGTTTATATTTGGGTCCCATCCCCAAGATATCTCACGTATATGCAAATATTCTGAAATCTGAAGAAATCCAAAATCCTAAACACATTTTGTCCCAAGCATTTCAGATAAGGGGTACTCAACCTGTACAGTGTTTTGGTCATTTCCTTGTTTCCCCTCCCCTTACTTTCATTCTCTTCTCTATTCTCACCCCCCTCCCCACCCTCTTTCCACTCTCAGTAGGCCCTCCGTGAATGTTTGTTAAATGTCCAATGTCATTTTAGCATCGGAAAGGTAATCTTTTTTTTTTAAATTCTAATTGCCTATGGTGCTGACATGCATTATGAAATTTGGATATTAATTGGCCCATATAGCATATGTGCTCTCGGGCTTTGGGACATAGTTATAAGAGCATTAGAGAATTACATTAACGCTTCCCACACTTTAATAAGCTGTGTATTGAATTCTAAATCTAAATGCCTGGAATTTAAAAGTCTCAGTCTAGGAAAACACAATATTGATATTTTAACAGTAAAGACACTAAATACTTGGGAGCAGAAGAAATTTAATATTCATTATAGAATTTTTAATCCCTGAGGAGGTAATTTATTATTGATTTTAAAGGTCTTTGAAATCTTTTGTAAATATTCCTTGTGTCTTTCTCTTTTTTAATATCTTCTCTTAGGCTCATTTCTTTTCTCTTTCACAGGTTTCTGATAGCTAATTAACACCTCAGCATTACAATTCTGCTTTCCATAAACTTCTGTGCAGAAATCTAGGGAATCCAAAAGAATTGGAGAGTGCTGAGTTCCCTGGAGTCTGAAGCCTGGAGAAACCATCCGGAAGGCTGTAGCTATTCATCTCGAAGGAGCAGATGTTGTCCCTCCCCAAGGAGTTATTATGGGTTGGAAGAAATGAGAAAATGAATATAAACAAGTTATTTTGTGAATGTTATCAAATACGATCAGCACCAACCAAACAGAGCTCTAAATGCGTAAGTATTCTTTACGGATAGAAGCAAAAGCAAATGAACATTATAGTTTTCTAACTACATTCAGAAGCAAATAATTTGAGCAAAAGCACAGACCTAATTGGGTCGTACATGATAGCATGTGGAAAACAGTCCTGGAGAAGCAGAAAGTGTGTTGCTGGGTCAGCTCAACTGGTTGTCGTCCGTCAACTCTACCCCCTAGCCATGGCTCTGCAGACTTCTCTAGAAGGCTTCCTTCTTTCCAAGATGGCTGGGCAGAGTCACAGAGACAGTGATCTAATGTCCCTTAGGATGCTTATGGGACCTGTTTCTCTGGATGAAAAGCCAATCAAGGATAGGACTGGAGAGGAACCGAAATGCTTTCGTGCCGAGCTGTCTGCTAGACGCCGGTATTTTCAATCAGCTAGCCTGGGGTTTCTTGCTGTTGTAGGACAATCAGTTTACCTTATGCCTAAATTTCAAGAAAGGAACCATACCAGCAGATAGCGACCACAAAAGTGGTAGCCTGATGAAAAAGAATAATCTTGGGTGTAGTGTAAATGTAAAAACTATGAAGTTTTTTAAAAATAAAAAAAATTCACTTGCACACACTGTCTTTGAAAAGTTAGTGGGCAACTATTTACTAGCTGAAACAGAAACACTTGATTGTGTTGTGAATGCTTAGGGAAAATGTCATGATGGAGGTGGATTTGGAGCTGACAGTAAAGGATGAATGAGAATCAATAGTCTGAGAATGAAAGGGGAAGACATTCCCTGTTGAATAAAGGACACTGGGAAAGTCACAGGGTGTAACAATGTATATGTGTTTCAGGAAAAAGCAAGTGGACTCAATGTGGATGAAGTGTGGAGGGGATTTTGAGACATGAAGCTTGAAATACAGTTGACCCTTGAACAAGGTGGGTTTGAACTGCAGGTGTCCACATATGCACAGATTTTTTTCAACCAAACATGTTGATAAATACAGAATTCATGGTAAACCCACATATACTGAGGGCTGACTTTCCCTATCTACCTTCCACAAAGTATGCACAAGTATATGTGGGAGTCCTGGAATCAATCCCCTGCATGTACTGAAGTATGACTGTATATGTTTCTTTTAACCTAAACTTCCTATACTAACTCTGCCTTTGTGTATTTCCGCATTCCTCCTGCCCCAGAAAACTAGATAGGTATTTAAGAGGGAGAAAAAATAAGCTTGAAATATTTTAGCAGTTACCATAGAGAATAAGAAAAAAAATTCGCATTATATGCAAGGAAAGTCAAGCATGATATATAATTATTCAGAATCAACCACTAAAAAGGCTCTTCAGTAAAATAAAGAATAATTATCCCAAAGGAAGTGATTGTTTTGACACTTAATTGGGAGGACAGCCAAAAATTTAGACTAGGATTATAGCCCTTGCCTTGCTTTTGGAAGATTTTGTAGTGATTATTCAGAGAAGCTGATGTTCGCAATTCTAGTTAACTTGAGTTACGGTAAAATAAAATAAAACAAAACCCTATGGATGCATGTATATAAAGAAGATTGACATAAAATCATTATCCATTGTTTAATAAATGACTTGAAACCTTTTCCTGATGTAGCTAAACTTCTCTCAAAAATGAATTTTGGCTGGGCGAGGTAGCTCACACCTGTAATCTCAGCACTTTGGGAGGCCCAAGTAGGCGGATCACTTGAGCTCAGGAGTTTGAGACCAGCCTGGCCAACGTGGTGAAACCCCGTCTCTACTAAAAATACAAAAATTAGCCGGGTGTGGTGACAGGTGCCTGTAATCCCAGCTACTTGGGAGGCTGAGGCAGAAGAATCATTTGAACCAGGGAGGTGGAGGTTGCAGTGAGCCCAGATCATGCCATTGCACTCCAGCTTGGGCAACAAGAGCAAAACTCCATCTCGAAAAAAACAAAAAAAGAATTTTAATTCCCCTTTTAAATTTCCCGACACTCTTTGTTTTTGCTTATTCACTAGACTAGTTGAAATAGTTTCATTTCTTTCCTTTACTTTTTTATTTTTCTGTCGCATGACCAGTAAGAGTGATATTCCATGGCATCAGGAGTGGTTGAGATGGAAATCACCAAGGGATTGATCTCTGAAGAATCCTGAGGAGTGAGTGTTCTAGGGAGATGGGAAAAAATAAAAGCAAACTCCAGTTTTCCAAAGTAAAAAGAGTTCATTTCTGCAAAGTAAGACTGATGAACCTGACAATGATTCTGAGTGAGAGTCTATTATGGGTTATTCAAAGTCTGCTCCTAATAAAAAGTGAAGACCAAGAATTCAACAGAGGTTGTTGAAGAATATAGCATCAGATCGTCCGGAAACTGATTAGACTAGTGAATATGTAGCAGAGACGGCTAATTGTTCCCCAATAAACATTCTCCTCATCTTTTTATTAAAAGCACCCACCGAGTTTTAATTGGGAGCATGATGGCTTATATAGAGACTCCACTTTCTGCCCTCCACTGTGGCTGGGTGTGGCCACATGACTAGGTTCTGGCTAATGGGGTGTAAGAAGGAGCCATCAGTCTGGTCCCTGGATTGCTCCCCTCCACTTTCTCCTTCCTTGTTCTGCGGTCTGAAAGTGGTGAGGGAACGTCATCCAAATAGTCAGAACAATACCCAGGGGACTGTGGAGCAACAGCCCAGAGGGTCCCTGAGTCCCTGGATGGCCACATGAAGAAAAAACACCTATCTCCCCCCGCAGGCTGTATGTTAAAGAGAAATAGGCCTGCATTTTATCTGAGCCACCGCATTTTTAAGTCTCCATGTGATAGCAGCTTAGGTTATATCCTAATCAAGAAAACGTGGACTGTAATAAGTCATTTGCTTAGGTCTCTTATGATGTACTTCTATACAAAGAGAAGAAATGTGTGCAAGACAACATGAATTTGTAGCTGGAAGAATAATGTTACTCAAGTTGTCCTGATTAACCTAGGTTTGCAAACTATAGCCATCAGGTAGAATTTGACTCTGCATTTTGTTTTCAGTACAGAATGCTTTTAAAAATTACAATTTTTTTGAGTGTTTTTAGGACAGTATGTACTAACTCACCACAGTTCTCAGTGTCTTACTCCTGCCCCTTTGTTAGTTTATTTATTTATTTATTTATTTTGAGACAAAGTCTCACTCTGTTGCCCAGGCTGGAGTGCAGTGGCATGATCTCGACTCACTGCAACCTCTGCCACCCAGGTTCAAGTGATTCTCCATAGAGACAGGGTTTCACCATGTTGGCCAGTCTGGTCTTGAACTCCTGACCTCAAGTGATCCACCTGGTTCGGCCTTCTGAAGTGCTGGGATTTGGGATTACAAGCGTGAGCCACCGCGCCTGGCCCTCTTTATATATATATTTCTTTCTTTCTTTCTTTTTCTTTCTTTTTTTGTTTTTTTGAGATAGTCTCGTTCTGTTGCCCAGGCTGGAGTGCGGTGGCATGATCTCAGCTCATTGCAACCTCCGCCTCCCGGGTTCAAGTGATTCTCCCACCTCAGCCTCCAAGTAGCTGAGATTATAGGCTAGTGCCACCACGCCCAGCTAATTTTGTATTAGTAGAGATGGGGGTTTCACTGCGTTGGCCAGGCTGGTCTTGAACTCCTGACTTCAAGTGATCTGCCTGCCTCAGCCTCCTAAAGTGCTGGGATTACAGGCGTGAGCCACCACACCTGGCCTCTTTGTATATTTCTGTTCCTTGCTTGGCACCTGAAGGCATATGAGTTATTAGAGTAATAGACTGTGCTGCTGTTCCAAATACCCCTGACAATACTGTGGCTTAAAAATGAAAGAAGTTTGTTTCTCTCTCACCTAAAACCTGTAGGTAAACATTCCCAGGCAGTAAGTAGCTGTACCCCAAATGGTCATGAAGAGCCTTAGGTTCCTTCCAACAAGTTGTTCTCTCATCTTCAGCTGGTTGTTTGCATGATCATAGATGAGTCACAATGAATGACTCCTGCTGTCAGGAAAGGAAAGCAAATCAAACAAGCAAACATGAGGGAGGCATGGACCTATTTTAAGTGTAGAGTTTGGTGAGTTACAATGAATATATACACCTGTGCAAGCACCACCCAAATCAAGATCCAGAATTTAGGTTGTCAACCTCTTTTTTTAATTCGTTGTTTCGGTGAAGATACTTTGCCCCTGAATTTGTGGATAGCATTAAGCCAAGAAGAATAACAATCATGTTGAGTAGCATGAGAATCCAAAGGCATCTTAAGAATCCAGAGATATGAGATGAATATAATTTAGTGGGGGTAAGTGCAAGCCTTGCCCTTGAATTAAAAAATCAACCTCAGGCTGGGCAGTGGTGGCTCAGGCCTATAATTCTAGTGCTTCGAGATCAGGGTGAGAGCATCGCTTGAGGCCAGGAGTTCAAGATCATCAGCCTGGGCTACATAGTGATGCTACGTGTCCACAGATATTTTTTAAAATTAGGTGGGCATGGTGGTGTGTGCTTGTAGTCCCAGCTACTCAGGAGGCTGAGGTGGGAGGTTTGCTTGAACCCAGGAGTTTGAGGCTGCAGTGAGCTATGATCGTGACCAGCCAATAACCAGAGTGAGACCCTGTCTCAAAAAACAGAAAAAGTAAAGAAACCAAAAGTCAAATTCACAAGGTAAAGAAAAACATACAAAACAAATGTGTAGCTTAATAAATCACATAAGAGAATTTTATTGTAGCTACCACTCAGCCAACTAATCAAGAAATGAAACTTTTCTAGCCCCCACTGTTGCAATCACAGCTCCCTCATATCTGCCTTAAGTAACCGCTAGCCTGACTTATAACAATTACTTCCTCACACTTATTTATAGTTCTATCACCTAAATAAATGTTCATCCTTAGATATTATCATTGAATCTTCCCCATTTTATAATTTGATACGTCTTTTTTAGTCTGCAGATTCCTTTTCTTTTTTCTTTTCTTTTCTTTTTGAGACAGAGTCTCGCTCTGTTGCCCAGGCTGGAGTGCAATGGCGCGATCTCGGCTCACTGAAACCTCTGCCTCCCAGGTTCAGGCGATTCTCCTGCCTCAGCCTCTCGAGTAGCTGGTATTACAGACACGTGCCACCACGCGCGGCTAATTTTTTCTATTTTTAGTAGAGACGGGGTTTCACCATGTTAGCCAGGATGGTCTCGATCTCCTGACCTCATGATCTTCCCACTTCAGCCTCCCAAAGTGCTGTGACTACAGGTGTGAGCCACCACACCAGCCTACAGATCCCTTTTCTATCCCTTTATTTTCTTTACAATTTTTCCATTGCAGAACTGGCACTTTTTGACCAATAGAGTTTCCTACAGTCTGGATTTTGTTGACTGCATAATACTTATTGCTCAGTTTAACAATTGTCTCTGTCCTCATTATTTCCTGCAAATTCATAACTGGATTCAGGTACTTGATCAGACTCAGGTTTGATTCCTTTGGCAAGGAGGTGGTAGTGTTCTTTCAGCAGGAAAAATATATTATCTGGTCGTTCCTCTTTTTGTGGTTTCCAGAGCTGCTGATATGTAGGGCCTAAATCTATTAATTTATTAAGGGTTTCAAAATAGTAATATTACATTTTGGTCATTGTTGCTTTATTGTTTTACTTGTATTACTTTTAAGAAGGTACACCTCCTCTAATCTATAATTTGATTATCGTAAGTGTACAGTTAATATAATTAAGGCAAATAAATATGCAGTTAATGTAATTAAGGCAAAACAAATGCTTGCCTTTTTATTTATTTAGTCTTTTAAGAAAATTGTTTTCCTAATATCCTCCAAAGGTGACTAGTTTCTTTGATAGCATTATAAAGTCTTAAGTTTAAGCATGTTTAATAAGTGCAGAGTTAGGGAGTCTCTAAGACCACCTTCATTTCTGACACCAAACGCACTGTTCAGGGGTTTCCAAGACCACCCTCCTTGCTGATTTCAATTTCAAGTCTGGGGGTCCCCAAGGCAACCCCCGGGTTTGAGAAATTCCCTGGAAGGACTCACAGAACGCATTGAAGTCTGTTATACCCACAGTTATGGTGTATTATAGTATAATGATATTCTGGAAGAGGTCCAGATTAAAGTCAGTCAAAAAAGCAGCACATAAATCAGAGTCCAAGTAAGCGCCATGTGTAGATCTTACATTTGTCCTCTCCCAGTGAAGTGGTGGACAGTGCTACATGCTTCTAACAAGACTATCACTTTCTTCCTCTTCTTATAAGGCCACTAATTTCGTCATGAGGGGCCTACCCTCATGATCTGATCTAACCCAAATTGCCTCCCAAAAGCCTCATCTCCAAATACCATCGCACTTGGGATGAGATCTTCAACATATGAATTTTAGGGGGACATAAACATTCAGTTCATAACATGGGCTATATAGATGGGCCACAGGTGGTTATCAACTCCCTAAACATTTATATTCAAAGTTTTATACAGGTATGTTCATTTTCCTAGTAGGAGTTTTTGTTCTCATTGACATCCGAAAGAGATTACTAACCCACATTTTAAAAACCACTTTCATAAATTATGAAAAATTGCAAAAGGGAGCACATCTTTCTCCCCCTTTCAATATGAGGATAAATGAATGAATAAATGTTTCTCTTTTTTAGAAGATATAAAGTAAGAAGAATGATTTGAAAAGATATAAATTTTTCCTCCTTTTTCTATTACTGTTTTATATGATTTTCCTGGAAATTTGAGTTTGT